TTTTCTCGTATATATATATATATATATATATATATATATATATATATATATATCTTTTTTCTTTTCTTTTTCATTCATTGCTGCTTTTGTTTTTTCTTTCTTTTTTGTTTCTCTATTTTCTTTCATTTACTTTTTCTTTCTTTTTTTTTCTTACAAAGAACGATTTTCTCTGTTTTATATATCTTTCTTTTCTTTCTTTTTCATTGTTTCTTTGTTTTGTTTTTTTTGGGGGGTGTTGCCGCTTCAGAGTTTACTTTCCTCGTGTATCGTTCCTCCATTACTATCCACTCTGACTATTCCTTTTTATTCTGCCTTTTTTCCTGTTTCAAACTATCTTTCTTTCCTTCTTTTTCTTTCCTTCTTTTTCTTTCCTCCTCATATCGTCTTTTCATTCTTATTATTTTGTATTCCGTCTTTCACATTTTCAAAAGTTCCTTCATTCCGATTGGACCTCTTACTACACTCCCTCGCCCCACTCACTTATATTCGCTTTAGTGTCCCTTTTTTATTTCCTGTTGCTCGCTTCAGTTATCACGTGACATAGCACTAACCAATTGGATTAACTCAACTGACAACAAGACAGATTAGCCAAACGTGGCAGCATAGACTTGTCTTCACACACGCAATCCATACAAATGTCACATAAAATAAGAAGAAGAAGAAGAAGAAGAAGAGAAAAATTGATTGAAACAGAAGTCTTGAGCCTGACATTGTTGATATCTGGTTATAAACGAGTTTTGTATATATATATATATATATATATATATATATATATATATATATAATTATTTATTTTAAAATATGATTCCAACTCGCGACATAAGAGGTCTCATGTTTCAAAACAAGAGCCGAAAACTTCAATATAATTATTTGAATTAAATTTAGTTAAAGTAAGCTCTGTTCCATCTTCAAGCGAATTTTTTTTTTTTTTTTGGAATAACGTATTTCTGAAATTTACGTGTTTTAATAATTGAAATCAAAATTTCCATGGTAACAGCAGGGCGAATTGTTTAAATTGGGTAGGCGTGTGTTGGGTGTTAATAATAAGTATCAATATAGAGTAACTTTCATAGATGTCAAGTCAGGGTAAGGTGGGGGTGTCTAAATTTGAAACGGAAGATGTTTTAGCCTAGTCTGGTTTACGTGTCTATGGAGATTTTATTTATTTTTTTTATTTTATTTCTTTATGAAAGGGATTTGTGCATATAAAAATAAAAACAAAAAAAATGCCGTAACATTTGTTTTTTGACGACTTCATAAAGGGTTATATTTTTTGTAGGGTATTTAAACTATTTATTTGGGCTATGGATTATAAAAGTTATTATATTGTATGCTTGTTTTTAGCTAATTATTCAAACCATGAATTTGATGATGTCGACAAAAAACCGTTAACTCATGTCTATTGTTTAATAGATTATTATTATTTAGAAACTTAATAATGTGCAGTTTCTCATGGAGGCACAAAGGGCATGGGTCATCCCAAGTTTTACATGTTCTAGCTTTGTTTATAATTTTCCATTATATATATATATATATATATATATATGTGTGTGTGTGTGTGTGTGTGTGTGTGTGTGTGTGTATGTAAAAAACGTGCTGGAGCATTCTAGAAATTTATGCAAACTTCTAGAACCTCATGGAGCATTCTAGAAGTGTATGGAAACTTTTAGAACTTTCTGGAACCTTCGAGAACATTTTGTAGCCTCCTAAACATTTCTGGAAATTTGTCAGACGATATAAGCGTGGGCTCTGTTTGGGTTGTAATTTGGACAAGGCGGATTGGAAAAGTGTGTTGTTTTTGTGATCAGAGTACTTTTCTTTGTTTCAGAGTATATAATATTACTGATTGAGCAACGCTGATTAATTTGCTGAAAGATCTCCAAGCATTCATTTTTATCCATAGTGTCTCATTAAAAAGTGCTTCTACCACTGAAAGAAACAAGAAGATCTGGACAAAGAATCTAGTCAGATTTCAAGAATCTCATAAGAAAAGAAGAACTGTTCCACTGGAAGAAACAATTACTAGAAAACAAACAGGATGCCACTTAAAATCCAAATTGTCGGTAACTATCTGTACCTTGGAGCATCCATCAAAAAAAAAAAAAAGAAAGAAAGTACAAAAGAAATCGCTAAAATATTAACAATTTTACAGCAAAATAAATGTAATTTCCCAAAATTTATCAACTCAAGTCATACAAGCAAAACTGGATCAAGTGTTGAATACCTACGATTTATAAAACGAGGAAAATATGATTCACTAAATGCAAATTTTGAGATTACAAAAGAAAATGTTGAACGGCTGTTATGTCGTCTTCAGAGGAAAAACAAAGGAGATTTTGGATATACAACTAGAAAGACTGCTGCTTCCAAAACTATTCAACCATCCAGAAGACATGACGTGACCTAGGAGCAAACTTCAACAACAATAAAAATAACTTCAACATCTGAATCAGAAACCAAATCAGAGAGTCAAGATAAAGAGCCCGAAAGTTCTGTAGAACAATTCATAAGAAGAAAAAAAAGAAATATAGTAAAACGAAAACTGCAATCAAATTAGTAACAACTTCCAACTTATCAACTAGTAAATGTTTGTCAGCAGCTATCTCAAAAAGGAACAGACACTGAGACACATTCTCAATCTGGTATTTACAAATCTACTATTAAAGAAAAGTTTAAACTTAAAGAAATAAAATGAAGAAAACATTACACTTAGAAAAATGGTCATTGCATTTTGATGTTAAACGAATTGATGGTCAAGAATATCAAGTGCTTGTGTTGAAGAATGAAAGAAAAGAGGTTAGGGATTAGATCTACGAAATTGAAAAGTGGATACCGTTGTCAAAGGAATAACAGATGTTCTGGATGAATACAATTTATCAAAAAGCATAAAGATGATTGCTGCGGACACTACGAATTTGAACAGCGGGATGACGTGATGATATGAAATTTTTATCTCATTTAACGCGAGATTTCCGCTTTTTCGAAGAAACTAGAAAATTTCCGAAAGTGAAGTTTCAAGAAATAACTAAAGTAATGCAAAATGGAATTCTATATCTTGAGGGAGAAGATGGATTCCTAACTTTCCCGACGGCATTTACGCGTAAGTGAATGCAACGAACCCGACTGGAATTCGAACTCGGCTCTCCAGCCGCTATCCATTACAACACCGCACATCCACCCATCGTTTTAATTCTAAACTGAAATGATGGACACTCATGAATGGATATCGTAGGAATGCAGTCACACACACACACACACACACACGCGTATCACGTGTATCACGCATGGTACATGACTGACTGATCCATTTGCCTACCGTTAGCAACACTGATCCATTACTTCGAACATCCACAGCAGCTCTAAAAAATTACTATGTAACCCTCTCGAATCGGACTCCTCTTAAATCTTTTCTCTTAACAAAAACCAGCACGCACGTGCCTCTGTGGAATTCCTTCACAGACCCTGAGCCTTATCGCAAGTTCTTTTTTTTTCACTTTTATTCATACAATGCAAGGATGATGAGCCTCTCCTGTTAGAAGTTACTCAACGAATTTGTTGAAAGAAAATAACGGTTGACCCGAGACATGAAGTGGTTAAGATAGTATAGAGATATTTGAAATTTAGGGCCTTCTTTTATAATTATATATACGGTAAATAAGTGGAGGATATAATATTAGTTTGTCCAGGCTTAGGGTGGTGTCTGGATTATGCTGATTGTACGACCTGCAAGGGAATATAACGTCACTCAAATAGTCACTTATCAAGTAAATACTTACAGATTCAAATATTTTAAAAGTTTGATATTAAAAAAAAAAAAAAAACTAAAAATATAACAACAGAAAAAAGCGTCTTAAAAGTCAATAGTAATTCACTTTTGTTTGATTAGTATTTGATAATGATGCAGGAAAATGATCGTGTCTTTGTACCGTTCCAGAAAGTACTTGACTCTTTATGGTATGTTTTAGCTTTACAAGAGTTAGATCAAACTGAAAATGGTGTTTTATTGTCATATCTGGGCTTCAACTGCCCAATAATCACTTTCCAGTCTATGGAAAAGTTCAAAAACCGTTCACGCAGGCTTAAGTTTGGCTTATTTTGTTTTATGGCATATCAACACCTCAATGGGTTATTTAATGTCGACAAGACTTTTGGAATAGACTCCTATGAATAGGATATGTATTCTTTGCAAGAAATCAGTTTGTAGATCAGGTTTCATTGACGAATTTTTGTAAAGAGGGTTTTTGTCGAGAGTCAAATTCGTTGCTCATAATATTTTTTTCAAACATTTATTGATATTTTTTACTATAAAAATCTATTTTTATACTTTTATAATGTTTTGACCCCAGTATGGGGGTTCACTATTTACCCTTGTCGGGTACTACCACCCCAGGTGTGGGTGAATCTTGAAACCACAGTAAATATGAGATGGTTTCATGCTTTTTCAAAACCGGCTGATCAGAGTCCATGCTGCCGGATGTAGTTTATCGTCATACCCAGGAGGACGCAGACTTATGGGAAAGGACATTTTTCCCATTACAACTCCATTCTCACTGACCAAACCTGGCTAATGGCGGGGGGAATGTCCAGAAGTGTTCCATTGTTTCAAGCCACCAGCTTAGACTGTTACACGGGATTAAATCACATCTCACCCTGCGTATTCCTTTAATAAGAAGGCTTTGTGTAATTTGTTATCGAGTAGTTTGTAACACGTTTATTATTATCTCTCTTTTTCGTCTATGTATTCGGGCAGAATGCATACAGAAGTGGCTCCGTCAAGAAACAGAGCCGCAGCTGGGGAAAATTATACCGAGAAGTGCCCAGCCCTGGCGAACAACGGCCCGAGGCCTCACCCTCTCAGTGCACTAGAGAGAGTGATCGGTGCACGCACTGAGGCCAGCGCAACTGGTAGTTGCTGACGATCGGGCAATTTTTGCTTCTAGCCCGGGTGTACGCGCTCGGGTTCCCCACATTAAACCGACCTTATGTCACTATCTGACCAC